TTCACTCTTTACACACTAACAACAGTATACATATTCACGATACTGTACCCCATACTTTTTTTAAGGAACTGTCAAAGAGAATTTGTTTAACAATCACCAGCTTCTTAAGTTAGTGATCATTTCCTCATTTCCTTTGTTCTGATGAACTAAACATGTGACTCAGGGGTAATATTGCAGAAAGAAATTAGATGCTAGTCACTTAGGGGTCAGAGGGTTAAACATTGATTTTTGATAACGTGAACAGAAACCAAAAGAAGACTGTATCTTTCATTTTAAATAAATTTAATATTTACTTGATAACTTTATTTTTAAAAGCAGCAAATAATTCTTGACAATAGTTTACTGGATGAATGTTTTGTTTCTCTAGGTTGTGGTGGAAAAGAAGTTGATGCGCGAACAAGGTCTATCGCGACATGATTTGGGAAGAGAGAAATTTGTTGAAGCAGTGTGGAAATGGAAGAATGAGTAAGTTTTTTTTTTTTCTGTCATTGTTGGCAAATAAAAGTTGACTCTGAAAGTTTGTAGCACCAGATAGATTTTTTTTCCATAAAACTGAAAAAAATTACAAACACTTTGTTTTGATTCTGACAGGTGAATTGTGTACTATCCAATCACAATGATTGAAAAACCTCAAAACCCCAAATTTAACAATTGTTGCTGTTTGTATAATTTTAGCCTCGTTTTTCTACACATGACTGGCTTTTTCTATGACTACCATTGACATTCCACAGATATTTCTGATGTTCTTTGTTTTCCAAGTTTCACAACAAAATATCATTGTACAACCAGAGATTGTACAAATTAAAAGTACAAATGTAGAAATTAACAGCGATTTCTAAAATGTGTAAATTCATTTTCTCAACAGAAAGGGTGATCGTATCTATCAGCAGCTGAGAATGATGGGAGTTTCTGTTGACTGGGATAGAGCTTGTTTCACCATGGATCCTGTGGGTGAACTTTTGTTTGTTTGTTTGTTTGTTTGTTTGTTTTATGTAGTCAGACCATACACAATTTGTCCACTTTTAGGAGATTAGGTCGGCACTTTTGACTTTTAATCTCAACCCTTTAACTCCCATGAGTGACCAAGAAAGAATTTCTCCTTTCAATATCAATATAATATCAAGTAGACTAGCTATGAGAATAAAGGAAAATATCAATCAGGGGATAATTTATTAGTTGATCTTATACTAGATTCTCTGAGTTAACATGATGAGAATTTTATAACAGTCAGTAAGAAGATTTACTAACGAGATTGTGAGAGTGAAAGAATTAATTTAATGAGAGGCAGTACTCTGCAAGAAAAGAGGTATTAAGTCTTAATTTGTTTACAGTGAAATGTACATCTTCCAGCTAAAATCATGTCATTTATTTAAGTATGTCTTTGTTTGTGTTTCATCTTATCAGAAACTCAGCAGGGCCGTAAAGGAAGCATTCATTAGACTCCATGATGAAGGACTCATCTACCGAAACAGACGGCTGGTCAACTGGTCATGTACCTTGAATTCTGCCATCTCTGATATTGAGGTAAACATTCCAATTAAAATAGAATTCACTTCATATAGATCCAGCAACAATATCTGCAGGGTGTAAGGAAACATGGAAGAATTATGGCAGAGGGTAGAAATTAAAAGAGTAATCGCTACAAATGGTACTAAAGCAATGTTGTCAATCTTGAATAATACCCCCATAATGAATTGGCAAAATTCTCAAATTTTAGGTTGACAAAAAGGAATTACCTGGAAGAACACTGCTACCTGTCCCAGGTTATGAAAATAAAATAGAGTTTGGAGTATTGGTGCATTTTGCTTACCCTGTGGAAGGTTCAGGTATTTTTTATTATTATTATTATTATTATAGAATTCTCAAATAGGAATTTTGATTCATCCGTAACTCGTTTCTATGTTAAAATAAGTCAAAATCTTTGGTTGATTTTGCATTTCCAACTTCCCAGTATGAAAGTCAGAGATGCTGCAGGGGATAGTGTTAATCATAATTATATTTTATGTTCTTATTGCAGATGAGAAGCTGATCGTTGCCACCACTCGTGTGGAAACAATGTTGGGTGATACAGCCATTGCAGTGCATCCAAATGATCAGAGATACAAGGTTAGGAGGATATACATGTAACTGGGATTAACAATTATCCAATTGATAGAAAAAATTAGATCCGCCTTTTCCAATCAATGCTTGAGGAGTAAAACAAAGTCATCTGGAATTCAAGTTCTCACTGAGTACCAAAACTTGTGAATTTCAACTGTAATGAAATTTTGTAATGATTGTTTTTTTTAATGTATATTTAGCACCTTCATGGAAAATTTGCTCTCCATCCTTTCTGTAATCGCAAGCTGCCAATTGTGTGTGATGATATGGTTGATCCTGAGTTTGGATCAGGTACGTACTCACATGAACCCAAGAACCAGCAACACTTTAATTTTGTGTTGTCCAATACCACTGTGTATGATGTTGGTAGCTACCACAGAGGGTAAAAGGAATTGTCCATGTCCTTAAGCACTCTTTAGTCCAGAGGCTATAGAAAAGTGATAAAAGGTGCTTGAGTGATAATGTTCAGTGTCCACTTCACTTTCTAGATTAAGGCTGATCATGGACATTAAATTTTAACATTAATTTTCATAGGATCACTGTTTACAACCAACTACATTTTATCATGGAAAAGTGACTGTGTGATCTCTACCATTAGTGGCAACTGCACTGTGCATGTACAGGCTCAACATAGGCTTTTTAAATATTAACTTAAATTTCCTTTAACATTGAGAAAGGATTGGTTATTTAGAGTGAAACTCATCATCAGAAATATATGGAATTTTACTGTATTTCCAATAAGTGTCACAAAACTAACCTGCAAACAGCCACAGTTATCTGAGTGTGGTTGTTAGGTTTGCTTGTTTGTCCTCAATCCATTACACAATTGACTTTTCAGAATAAAATCAAAGTTTCCATGGTTTTCTGAGTTTTACGAGAAGTAGTGATCAGCTTTGGCAATTGCCACATAACTGTGTTTGAACTCTTCTCATGCTCTTTTTTTTAGGTGCTGTCAAGATCACACCAGCTCATGATCATAATGATTATGGAGTGGGTCAGAGACACAGCCTTGACTTTGTCACTATGATTGATGATAATGGTAACATCAAAGATCTAAAGGACTTTTATCCAGATTTCAAGCACTTTGCAGTAAGCTGTTTTCAGATCTGCTGCATGTACATGTATTGTCAGAAGAATATTGTTTAACCCATTGACTCCTACGTGTAACACGTGCCTACCCAAAAGTTAAAATT